TAATAAAAATTGGCATTTATTACAACAAGATGATGATATTGCACCTTATATAGGAGATAAACCTAAAATTATATATAGGGGGGCTCAGAATCTTAAGCAAATTTTAACATCAAGTTTTATTGAAAAAAATGATTTTTTTTTTATATTAAAAGGTTTTAATTTTTGTGGGAATTGTATGGGGTGTAGAACATCCAAAATAAAAGAAAAAAAGATTTTGTCCTTCCACTCCAATGTTAACCTAAAAGAATACAAGATAGACAAATTTATTTCTTGTAAGACTAAAAATGTTATATATGTGTTGGAGTGTCCTTGTGGTCTACAATATGTGGGCAAAACATCTAGATGTGTGGCCACGAGGGTGCGTGAACACATATATAACATTAGAAAAGGACTTAAAACACATAATGTTTCTTTACATTTCCTTGAACATCATAATCAGGACCCAAGTAACATTAAATTTTATGGAATCCAAACGGACACAAAACATTGGAGAGGAGGTGATATTAACGCAAATTTAAGCAAATGTGAAATGGGCTGGATTTTTAACCCCTTAAGACCGGAGGGCGTACTATTACGTCCTCTAATAGGCTCCCCATTGTGGCTGCCCAAACGTACCGGGCGTATTAGCACGCTCTCCGTCTTTGTATTTTCTACCCGTCGCCGGGCGGTTCCACTGGGCGACGCGGTGGGGACTGAATTTCAAGGCATCTACCGCCCTCCAGGGATCGTCAGAGAGGTAAGTCCTAGCGAGGACCCCACAATCACATGGCTGGATAGCTGCTTTAGATACAAAGTAGGCTGCCTGTAATGACAGTGGTCCCCCTGCTGGCTGAAAAATAAAATAAATAAATAGTGTGTAATAAATAATATATACTTAGATCATATATATTATATATATATGATCAAAGTATATATATACATACATATTATTACACACACATGTACACCGCCTAGGTAAATATTTACTACATTATATATATAATTATATATATATATTAATATCAAATTACACGTAGACTGATACTGATTAAATATATATATAATTATTGTTATATATATATTTATATATATTATAAAAATAAATAAAATGTAAATACGTTAAAAAATAAAATTACAAAAATAATTAAAAATAAATAATTAAAAAATATATAGATGTGTGTTATTTCGTTCTAACTGTATTGTAAAATTAATATATATATATATATATCAAAATACACATAGAACGAAATAATATATATATTTATACACATAAATATATACGTATATATCACTATATATATACCTATATATAAATAAAAATATTTTTTAAAAATTATATAGATATATACATATATATACACATACGTATATATATACATATATTAATTCTACATATATATTTATGTAATATTTTTGCATTATTAGGTATCTTAATTAATTACAATTAGTGGACCTGTATATAAACTCCATGCCTAAAGTAAAGGAATTTAATTCTGCTAGCACTATATTTAACCCTATAACTTTCCGAGACAATTCATAAAAACCTGTACATGGGGGGTACTGTTCTACTCAGGAGACTTCACTGAACACAAATATTAGTGTTTCAAAACAGTAAAATGTATTACAATGATGATATCGCCAGTAAAAGTGACGTTTTTTGCATTTTTCATGCACAAACAGCACTTACACGGATGATATTATGCTGTGATACTTTTTACTGTTTTGAAAACACAAATATTTGTGTTCAGCGAAGTCTCCCGAGTACAACTGTACCCCTCATGTACAGGTTTTATGGTGTTTTCAAAAGTTACAGCGTCAAATATAAGGCTTGTGTTTCATTTTTTTCACATTAAAATTTGCCAGATTGGTTACGTTGCCTTTGAGACCTTATGGTAGCCCAAGAATGAAAATTAACCCTATGATGGCATACCACGGTAACAGTAGACAACCCGTTGCAGTTGCAGTTAGGTCCAGCCTTAGTAGTTATTGTCACGTTAACACTGCCAAAAATTGGCGTTTTTTGCATTTTTCACACACAAACAAATACTAACGCCACGGCCAGTGTTTGTGACCAAATGACTACTAAAAAAGACTGGACATACCCCATTTGCAATACCTTGGGTTGTCTACTATTGCAAATGGTATGCCATTATGGGTGTAAATTTCTTTCCTGGGCTACTATAAAGTCCCAGAGGCAACGTAACCAATCTGGCGAATTTCAATTTCAAATGTAACGTGCTATATTTGACCCTGTAACTTCCCAAAACGCCATAAAACCTGTACATAGGGGGTACTGTTTTACACGTGAGACTTTGCTGAATACAAATATGTGTATTTTATTGCAGTAAAAGCAAACAGTATTATGACACTGACCGTTTAATTGTCATGTAGAACTAAAAAAATCCAATAAAATCGTATTTTCTCCCATTTTTTTCATATTAAATTATGTTTCATAGCTAAATATTTGATATTAAATGAAAGCCCTGTTTCCCCTGAATAAAATGATATATAATAAGGGTGGGTGCATTTACTATGAAAGAGGTGTATTACGGTTGGACAGACATGTAGCGCAAATGCCAGGTTTTGTTTACATTTTGTTTTGTTCACAACGTGTACATTTGGCTCCGTCCTTAAGGGGTTAATTTGGACACACTATCACCCAAATGACTTAATATGGATTTTGAAATGAGTGTGCTCATTTAATTAATTTTTAAAAAAATTGTTTACTGTTTAAGACTGTATTATATATTTTTAGATATATTTCTTATGAATATATGCATTAATAATTTACATGTCTTATTGTGCTGTTTTTTACAGGTATCATATTAATGATGTTATCTCTTCCTTCTTTAAATATTATATTTCTTCCTTTTTCTCTCCTTTTAAATATACCTATACAAAAGTTTGTTTATACAGTTGTATCTTTTATATTTATTAGCAATACAGGTTTTATAAGGGATGAGACATGTTTTTATTTTGTTATAAGTTAAGAAAAACATTGCCAGGACAGTCCCATGTGGAGTATACTATAAAGACTTTCCCAATATGGCTGCGGCAGCTTCAGGGAGTCAATTCGAGTCACTTCCGGTTCGGGAAAAAGACGTCTGACGTCAGACGTAATCTGACGCAAAAGTGGGCGGAGACAAGGAAGCCGGCCGCCGGAACCAGGAAGTATGTGGACGCCATTGAAACTGAGATTTTCGGCGCCAAATTCGAACAGCAAGTGTGGCATATATACAGAATATGGAGGTGAATATTTTATGCACTTTGAAAAAGACTTTTTGATGGTCGAAACGCGTCAGTGCTGCTATCTTATTTATTTTCACTTTTATGCACTTTATATATGTCCCTGTTTTTAACTATATATGTTAATTAGATTTTTGACAAGTATCCCCATTTCCCTTTGGAATTATTTATATCTCCTGTATCCTGGCATAAGTGGAGAGATCTGGAGGCGTGGTGGAGTCAAACATACCAGGGATTTTAAAAGAGCGACAAAAGTCAGCGCCTACTATATGTGGCTCTGCAAAGTGTGAGTGGAACCAATATTTATTTATTGATGATTATTTGGTCAAACAGTATTATGCTATGCTTTGACTTTTTTTGTATATAGGTGACATCTAAAGGACAATCAAGTATTTATAAGTATACTATATACATATCTCTACCTGCACTCCTCTATCTTTATCTTTTAGTTGTATTTATATCTGTGTTTTTTAAGTGTTTTTTTAAACACTGTGGAGTTGCACTTATATTCCTGCTACCACCCCCACACTTTGTGTGATTTGCACTTTACTCTGTAGAATTGTTTGCATACTTTTAGGAGTGTATAATCATGATCAAAGATTACGGATTTTAAAAGCGTTGTATGGCAATGCAGGATAATGTTAACATAAAACAAAATTTTAAGTTTTTTATTTTTTCAAATTTAAGTCTCCCAATTTGAGTAATAATAATAATTTAAAAGTTGGAATCCTAAAACTGCGTGTAAAATAGTAGGCTATTAGTTGGTAGTAATTTTACTCACATTTTATTTATTTATTTTATTTTATTTACTCTAGTGAGAATTGCCAGGAATTCAAAATTTTTAATCAAAATAGCCAAACCGAAAAGATTTGGAGAATTGTTCCATTCGGCTATTTTGTAAGTTTTAAAATTCACTTTGAATTCCTGGCGATTCTCACTTTAGCAGATAATCTTGTAAGTATTTTGTATAAAAATGCGTGAAAAAAATTAAAATATTTAAATTGCACACTAGATCTAAACAAATTATTTTCTTAAGCAGATGTTTAATTGGTTAAAAATGTTACTGAATGTTATTGAAAAGTGTGTCTCTTTTTTTTTTGGTATTTTTGCAGTGCATAAGAAAATTACAACAAGCTTGAGGTACCCCAACGGCAGTCCTCAGGCATATTATCATGCTTTACATTTGGGGTAATCGAAGATAGATGCACAATTTTATATTTTAAACAGGCTAGTGCTATGAACATGTTAGGTACATTGTTTGATCATTCAAGCTGAAGAAGCTCAGTACTAGTGCTGGTTCATAAAGGTTTACCTGCTGAAGTTGAGACCTAGGTACTGGTTGCATAAACAAAGTAAGAGTGGGGGCCTTATGCCCCTGAGCGGTAGTATGGTATGCTAGTCATTGTAAGGTTTAGTGTGTATATGAACAAGCTTAACATTGTAATGTCTAGTGCTGTGTCGATTTATGGTAGATGCATGGTAGTTAGAAGTGCTAGACATGTGTGGTAGAAGTAGTGAGTTTGACTAAGGTGAGACAATCGACAGTGTAAGTACAGGATAATAGCGAGTAGAGCCTTCTGTCTAGGGTGGCTGTAATATTGAGTCGCACTCAGCCTCAGTGTTGTTACCATCGGGTGGGTGTCAGTCTTCCCTAGTATTAATAGTATTAGACCACCGCCAGCTTTATAAATAAGGTAAAGTAAAGTAAAGTAAATCGTGAGATAACAGGTAGTGCCGGTTGCTCGTTGCCTCAGGAGTTGTTCTCCAGGTAAGACTTATACCACACCCCTGGTCTTGCTGTGCAGGAAACCTCCCATTGCTCCGACGTAGTATCGCCACTTCTCGCGCCATTTCTTCCGTGGTGTCTCTCCTGGATCACTGGGTAGGTATTTAGGTAGTCGGTGACGACAAGCTGCATTGTTCCGTTGTGTTGCACCGCAGGTTGCGGGCTTGGAGGAAGGCCTCCGTGCTCCATGTGCAGTCCGCGGGGTGTAATAGGGAGTGCGGATGGTGGCAGCCTGAGGCGTTGCCTCTGCTTTCCCTCTAGCCGCCTTAAGGCTTGGGATCCTGGCAATCTGTGAGTTGCTTTGGGTCGGTGCCGTCAAGGCACACTGGGTCTCGTTCTGCAGGGTTATTTCCCGATATTTAGCCCAGAATGTGTCAAAGGCTTTTGCGATACCGTCCTCCTGGTTGGTCTGCGTCTCGGGAGTTTTGAGTGAGCTAGGCCTCGATTCAGCAGCCATCTTGGCTCTCTCCATGTGGGACTCTGACTCTGCAGGGCTCCTCCAGTGGGACAGGCAGGTATGTCTGCACCTTAGGGAGGACCGGGATGACTCCCGCCGGACCATTGGGGGAGAGTGGGAGCGATTATGGGCTCCGTAGTCGACCTGAGGGCAGGGAGAGCGGGCCGTCTCTCCCAGCCTTGGCCTCCCACAGGCTGCGTGGTTGCACCGTCGTGGAATTTCTGACCGCTGGATGAGTAGCCACAAGCATCGTGTCCCCGGACTATGCACGAGTGTCCAGTAGGACTATGAGGGGGTATGCAGTGATTTTTGGCTTGTGAATCAGGCAATTTACTGGTCTTGGGCCTGAAGCTCAGGCAGCATCCAACCATCCACTTCAGCAGTCAGGCTCCGCCCCCCTGAAAAGTGTCCTTAGTGCTTGTCAGACATCAACATTTTGTATCTATCAAAAAGACAACATCACAATTCATTCTATTCGATGATTGATATATGATATTATTAGTAACAGCTGTACAAGTATAACATATTCAAAATAAGTATATTGCAGGTGTGAAATTATAAGTGACACAAATGGACTTTGCTAGTGTCATGTTGTCTGTGAATTCTTGTCCAGTCTAGCAGCATAAGTACAACATGTTCACAATAAGGATATTGCAAATGTGAAATTATGAGTGACACAAATGGTCTTTGTTAGTGTCATGTTACCTGTGAATTCTTGTCCAGTCTAGCAGCGGCGTGGTACACATTGTGATGCTGTGAGTCATTCGTGTGTCATGTTCGGCATAGATTGTCCAACCATGACAACTTTTATATAGAAAATACCAGCAAGCCTGTGTTATTCTGTGAAAATGGTTACATACCTTTTGGCATTGCTCAACTAATGCTGGCCAATAGGATCTCCTATTTAACCCCAGATCATACTCAGAATAGTGTCCTGTAGTGATCATTATTTATCTGAGGCAACATACTACAGTGCATTGATTTTCCTTGTTTGTAACTTCTGGCTTGCTCTTTGACTTTGCTACTTTTTGTAATCCTGAACTTGGCCAGTTTACTTAAATTACTGCCTTTATGTTCTCCTTTGACCTCAGCCTGTTTTCAACTATTCTTGTATAGGCATTTCAATATTCTTCCACTTGAGCTAAGCCTGATCACCCCAAGGGACAGGTAATACACTTCTATCCTTTCTGCTACCTGACCTAGGATTGCGTGTTGAGGTCATAACTTATCCTGATTAAAGACAGCTATTTACAAACAAAGAGAGTAATACCAAAGTTATCAGGAGTCATCTTTAGGCAGATGTATGTATAGTCTATACACTGTGCTTGCAAACAAAATTCATAAATTAAAAGAAATTTATATTTTATTAAAGAGAGGCTTTTACACATTTCTCCTTTAGTTCCCTTAGCAGCAAAGAAACATAACACATGTAAATCAGAAACAAACAGAAAAACTGTTATTTGCACACTACACCAACATCTTGGTGGTGGCTAGCTCTTTACTCTCTACCCCCCTTCTCTCTTGCAATTGCAGGAACTGGACTTACATGCCAGGTGCCTGTAGACACAATGTTTGTCCTAATTGTAATTGTAATTGTCACTGTGCTTGAGAATTGAAAACAATAAACGAAAAAAAAGCAAAAAAAAGCAAATTGAAGGCACCTTCTGCTCCCGCATTAACAAAAAGGCATATAAAATGCATATGAGCAGTTGCCTACTCTGCCAGACTGTAAATCCAGCCTTGTCCAGTTCACACATGCCTGATTACACGGTTTAACTTCTAGCTGCCATTTTGTTGGTATTAGACAAATATTTTGAGGACAAAATACTTGTCTATCTCTGTTGTTGAGGAGAGTCTAGAGTCCAGTGCAGAAAGTCCTTTCAGTCTGATGGCTTTTCTCAGAATTTAAGAATTTTCTTTGATTCCATAGTGAGAGTGTCATTTAACCCCTATACTCCCCACAATTAATTGTTTTCTTCTTGCACATTCACTAGACTGTGCATGTATAGGTTAACCCCACTGCATCATGCAATCAAAAAATTAAAAAGAAAAAAAAAAAATTATGGGGGGACCAATATGACCACCATATTAGTAGATGAGAAGCTTAAAAATCTCCCTTGTGCTAACCACCCACTATAAGGCTTCAGCTATGTCCAATCACTCTGCTTCCTTAGCCCTCAAGACCTACAAGTATTAAATCATGACATTATAACATAGCACAATACAATATGGTAATTATACTGCCTTTTCCCACTTGGCCATGAGAAAAGCATGCTGAGTGCTTAGGTAGACAATTTCATGTACAGGTACCATATTCACAGATTTTACAGTTTCAACAAGTGTTCCACAGAAAGTGTGCCATTAGGACCTTTAATTATTAGAGTTCTGATTTTTGTATTTCTTTTCAAATTGTCGGAGGGTTATTTCTATAACAGATAATTGCCTTCTGTGCATGCATGGTGTAAAGCAATGGTGTTCAATAATTCTACCATTTCACATTGATGTGGCTCAAGCCACCTCAAAGAGTGCCGTTAGCACAATGACTCCAGGGCTATAACAGAATGAATACTCTTTAAAATGTGTTTTTAATAAGTGTCAGCGTTAAAATTGGGATTCTCATCTGGCAAAGAATTTAAACTAATAAGCCAATTTGAATAGAATTATGCATGTCTGTGTTATAAGACAAGTAAATGTGACATTTTTAAGCTGCTTTGGAATTTTTTCTCTCATTGAAGTGAGCCTCGGCCCGAAAAAAGCTGTGACCCTCTGGTCTAAAGCAATTTGACTGCACATACCTGCTTTGGCAAAACTCAGTTTTTATATTTTCATTTTCACTGAATTTGTACTAAAGGGATTTGAGGACATTCAGATGAATACAATAGAACAAAACATTTAGATAGGTTTGCTATCAACTCCAACTACATGTATGAAATTTGGGGGTTACCTTGACCCCCTGTGAACCAGGGACTGCCAATTGAGCAGAAGAACCTGTTAGGGCAAGAAGATATTAACCCAAATTAGAGACTATTTGGAGTGGCCAAATCAATAGCTTGTACATTCTGAGAAAAAAAAGAAATTCCTGGATGGCTACGAAAAAAAACACAGTGGTGGATGATCGCAGGATCCTTTCCATTGTAAAAGCTCTCCAGGAGGTAGGCGTAACATTATCCAAGTCTACCATAAAGAGAGACTTCACAAGAGCAGATAAAGAGAGTTTACCACAAGGTGCAAACCTTTCATAAGCCTCAAGAATATAAAGACCACATTACACTTAAACAACAGGCCAGTTCTGGAACAGCATTATTAGGACAAATGAAACGAAGATCAACCTGTACCAGAATGATGGGAAGAAAAAAGTATGGAGAAGGCTTGGAACAGCTCATCATCTGTAAAACACGGTGGAGGCAGTATGATTGCATGCATGGCTTCCAATTGCGTCAAAGTGTATAACGATATATATTGTCTGCTCACATTCAGCCACATTCAGTAAAGTTGATTGGACGGCGCTTCACTTTATAAATAGACAATGACCCAAAACTTACTGTGAAAGCAACCCAAGAGTTTTTTTAAGGCAAAGAAATGGGATATTCTGCAATGGCCAAGTCGATAACCTGATTTCAACCGGATTGAGCATGCATTTCACTTGCCGAAGACACTTGCGGTAAAGGCCTGGCAAAGCATCACAAAAGAGGGAACCCAGCGTTTCCAGACACTTTCCAGAAAATAAAAGAAAATATATAGGTCGCGCTATATGATAGTGAAAATAAAAGTAAATATAAAATTAGATAAGACAAAAATATAAATAAAACAGGGGAAAATTATCCTAATAATGTAAAAGTCTTTAATAGAACATGTGATAATACTGAGGTCTGGAAAAAGTCCAAGAGTCCAAAGATTAGCTGAATCTTCTTGTATTAGCGGTATCTCAATTTGATGGTGGATATATTTACATGTAAAGAAAACAGAAAGACTCCAATAGTGCAGATGGTAATACAGCAAATGAGTAGATTACCATCTGCACTATTGGAGTCTTTCTGTTTTCTTTACATGTTCATATATCCACCATCAAATTGAGATACCGCTAATACAAGAAGATTCAGCTAATCTTTGGACTCTTGGACTTTTTCCAGACCTCAGTATTATCACAGGTTCTATTAAAGACTTTTACATTATTAGGATAATTTTCCCCTGTTTTATTTATATTTTTGTCTTATCTAATTTTATATTTACTTTTATTTTCACTATCATATAGCGCGACCTATATATTTTCTTTTGTTTGTCCTTTTATGTGAGGAGTTGAGAGGGAACCTCATTTTTATAGGTTGCTGCTTTCTTATCTGTTCTTCAGCTTCTACTGATTTTTTAGCGCTGTCCCATTATCCTGTTTTTTAACTTTCCAGAAAATACCTGACTTATTTTTTTATTACAGGGCAATAAATGTTACAAAAGTAGTGTAAATGCATTATTATATCAACAAATTTTGTTTATATTTTATATATTTTGAAAAAACTAAAATGTGCGTTTTGTTCCTTATTTAGCTTCTGTAGAATACAATGTCGTATATGATTTAGAGCTCCATGATTTTGCTAAATATTATATCTGATTTAATACTTTTATTTTAATGCACCTCTTTCCATTAGATAGAGATCTCTTTCAACGTTTAAACATGTTCAGGAGCTTTAATATTAATAATATATCTCTGATGGCTTTGCCTAAACATCTGTGTCCAACTCTAATGCAACAATTTTCAAAGTCAATATAAACATATATTTTTATAGTTTATACTTTTCTATTAAATAGTGTTCATGAAGAAAGTTATAGATTAGATCCCAATCTTTACAGTTGTGTATTAGAGGGAAAGCTCTTTCCACTGACTTTCCATTTGCCTTAAAGGGTTCTGGAAAGTCTCCCTATTCTTGATTTACTGTACAAATCCACACAAATGTGATTAAAACGTATTAATAAATTGAATAAAAAAACATATAGGATCTGTCTATTGTAAAAGCAGACTTCTATTTCCAGTGAAGTTAAAATTGCAATAAAAATAGTTCAAATAGTTCAACTTTTTTATGGCAAAGTATAGAATGTATATAGACAGTGTTTTA